AGGAAGGAAGGAAGGAAGGAAGGAAGGAAGGAAGGAAGGAAGGAAGGAAGGAAGGAAGGAAGGAAAGAAGGAAGGAAAGAAGGAAGGAAGGAAGGTTGGTTTGTGGGAGGACAAAAAAATCATCATATTGTTTCCACCAAGATAACCTGTGGAATGGGATGAGTTATACTAGCAAGGTATGGTTCACTGAGTTCTCACAATGAACTGGTGTTTTCCTAGGAAACCCAATCAATAAGATTGAAGACTGGCTGCAGGATTGTGGGTGAGTGCTGGACAATCACCTGGACGTGGGTGGTTGTTGGTTGAGCTTACAACTGTGACCCTTGAGAACTCAGAAAATGGGTCTGAATTAAGAAAATAAGGTGGTTGGAAAGAGGGTTGAAGGGATTTGGGGGTCAATTGATGATTTAGACTTTGGATCAAATGTCACTGTGGGAATAACAGTGATCACCAGGCTAGCTCTATCTAACACGAAATAGAAATCTATATCTATGGGAAATGACTGGACTGAGCTCTAGACTCTCTTCAGCACAGATTCAAGGGTCTAGTCTACCTGAGAAGCAATTCAGGGCTGTGCTCTTTGTTACTACTGCAGACACTGGAAGGCTCAGGGTTAGCATGAGGGCCATTCAAAGGAGTGAAAACTTAGTCCCTTCAAAGCAAAATATATAATCTCTTTCCATAGAAACACTTCAAAATAGAAACTCCCCTATCCCACCATCCCTTACCATTGTAGATTCAGTCTCCACAGATACAAAGGGAAGCGTCTGCAACCTATTCTCAGCCTATGCAACTTCTGCCTGCTCCTTATGCTTCCTACACATATCTTTCAAACTGCATATATCCTTCAATATTCACGGACAAAATTTAATCACATCCTTGCTTGCTGGTTAGGAAATAAGTGCTACTGAATAACTTAAGGTTGTTTGATTTGACTCTGGATGGCAGTGCCAATAAGGATTTATTTTGTGTCTGATTCTGTTGTTTACAAATTAATTTTCTTTGTGTCCTCATCTTATTGACTCAAAGCCAGTTGAGCCCTCCTGAAAATGCTGAAGGGGAAAAGCATGATTGCAACAGAAATGTTTGCGGGTTTGGGTGAGGTACATAGAAATAAATACTGCCTTGAGTTCTAAAAAGCTAGACCAATTTTTCCCAGAAGAATCACTGGCTCCATTAAAGTCTTGATCTTAGCCGCTCCTGTCAATTCAAGTCAACAGTCATTAAGTTTTGACTTGCCCAATGTCTGGTAGTCTGAATCACTGGAAATAGTGCAAAGTATTTTAAAATATGCATATACATATCCTGTAGTCTGAGTTCTCATAAATACAAGAATGCCAGTTCTAGAAATTACCATTCCCCATCCATGTTCTACAAAGAAAAATCCCAAACCCAAAGTTGTCATGAAGAATTTGGTCTAAAGAGTAAAAGCTTCCAATATTTGAAAATAAATTCTTGTGTGATCAATTGTAAGCAAACAAATTCTTTTCTTCTTGAGCCCTGGACAAAAAATGAGACACCACATCTAAAGTAGCCTAAAAGCAAAACACAGCTGGAGGAGGTGTGGTTGGTTCAAGTGACAGAACATTTGCCTAGCCAAGTGCAAAGCCAAGTTCTACCAATAAATAAATAAAATATAAATCAATACAAATAATAAAAGGAGGCTTATACTTACTTAAAATTTCACAAAGTAAGTCTATGTATAGACTGATCCATCACTATATCTACACATACTTATCTATCAGAAAGCATATGCTCAAAAATGATACTCATCAACTTTTCAATAATGGATATAAACCAGTAGTGGGCAGAAAGCATGGAGAAACACATAATTTATATCCTTATTATTTACTTTGTTTTTATTATTTTATATTCTGTTCTGTGTTTTACTTAATATGTTGTTTCTTTCTGAAGCAAGTATGACAATATGTTCTCAGGCAGAATAATCTCATGGGAGGGAACAGGGTATTTCTCATAGTTCTTCACTTCTCTGTGCTTTGAAAAAGCACACTCACATTTCTCTCTGGGAAGGAAATTGTTAGCTTTAAATATATATATACACATATATATGCAATCTATATGTCCATGCTTTTCTATTTTCCCTCTAATAAGTATGGGTTATAGTCAAGCCTAGTGTAGCCATAACTTTAGTCATAACACCAGGGGTCCCCTAAGATCGTATTGCTATTTTAGTCTTACACTTGCACATAGATGAAGTCATCTAAGTGTATATTTCTCAGAATACATCCCTGCCACTTAGGCCACATGTGCGTGTACTTTTTCATTCTGTGAGAAAATGAGAAAAGTTGAGTGATGACAGTGGTGGTTATTAATGGTGGTAGGAGGAAAAGTACACTTGGAGTGTATGACATTGTAAGTCACTCTGGCCATTGATTCTTCTACTACCAGGGCCACAGAGGAAAGCAAATCCATATTCACTGGTTAACTGTCTCAATGTGGCCAGTGCTCTGGGAAGTACTTTTCAAATTCAGCTACAAAACAACTGAATTTACATTTTCTTTCCTATGGTAGCAAGATGTTCTTTTTTGACAAATTCTTTAAGAAAATGCATTCTCACCCTTGGCAAGTTAGTGTTACTACCTCTCAATGCAATTGAACGTAGGTGCAGCCCATTCCACTACAGGATGCGAATTTTGTGGAGTATGAGTATATTATTTGTGACTCAGCAGAGGCAATTTGGGGACCCCCAAGTCATCCAGATAAGCTTCCACTTAAATCTGCAGACATACATCTGTGGAAAGTACTGGAAGAAGAAAGAAATACCCACCTACTTTCCATAATACAATGTCCTTCTCTACTATGTGTTTATGAACTGAATATAATGGAGAAGTATTACTTTAAGGTTTCTATTTCAGACTTGAAAGAGACCTTGCTAAGGGACCTTTCAAAGCATGGGAGGAAAGAAGGGAGCAGAGATGAATCCAATCCCTGCTCATCAAAGTTTGTGGTCTGTGCTATCACCCTTGAAATGCCTCATGCTTGGATGATAGCCAAGACGTTTCAAAGCAGCATGTTCAGTGAGAACACATCAATACAATTACTCCTTGTCTGTACTGCTAGAGTAAATCCTACATTCACATAGGAAAGTCTTCTCCTACTAGGCTCTTGCTGGGATGGTTGCCAACAGGAGATTACAAATGTCCAGCAAACTAATGAACTCTAGAATAAATACCCCCCAAATACATAAATATTAATGAAATTTGCTTTGAACAAACCAAGAATTTTATCAGTCATATTTCAATGTAAATTTTTTTATTAAAGCAGCATGTATATTTCAGCGTCACTTTTATTTTCAACATAAATTGGAGAGACATGTGCTATTCTCATTGAAAGTCAAATGATTCTTAAACACACAGCTTGAGGATTCTTCACCAGGAGAATAGAACCAAGAAATTTGAAGCAGAACATTATGAACTCTTTAAAAGCCTCCTTTCTGCTCGCTTCTACTTACACTTCTGCCTCTGAGGGTAACTAACATAGTTACCCTAATATAAATAAGTTTCAGAATTTCTTGAATTTTGCATAATTAGGATTCTACAACATGTATTACTTTGCCTGTACTTATATTTTATTTTTATGCTTAACATTGTGATTTTCATCAATGTATTTGTATGTAGTAGGAGGTCACTGCTTTTTGTTGTATTATAGAACTAAATTGTGTAGTTCTTATAGAGTCTTTATATTTTACAATTAATACAGACTCCATGGTGTCCTTTCTGGGTTATTACGACTAGTACTTTTTTTTTTTTTTTTGTCGGTCATGGGGTCTGAACTCTGGGCCTGGACACAAACTCTCTGCTCTTCAGCTCAAGGCTAGTACTCTACCATTTGAGCCACAGCACCACTTCCAGCTTTTTCTGCTTATGTGGTGCTGAGGAATCGAACCCAGGGCCTCATGCATACAAGGCAAGCACTCTACCACTGAGCCAGCCCAGCCCCGACTAGTATTTCTTAAGGAGAACATTGTAGGCATTTCCACAAGTGGAGTAGTAGCTCTAGAAGTAGCATTGCTAATTCTGTGCAAAATGCTTCAAAATTCCATATTTTTTGAGTGCCAACAGGACAACAAAAGTGGAAAGATTCCACACTTTGTGTGACGGGTGCTTTGTTGGATATATTATAAAAAGTTGCCTTCAGGCTATATGTTTATGAAGCATAAATAAATTTATCTTTAGACTTGGGCCTCTTGTCCAGACTATCCTTCTAGTTTGTGAAAATAATAAAAAAATGGAAATAAGGTTTCTAAAATGCTTCTGATCCCAAGCATTTCAGACAAAAAATTTAAAATGTAGGTATGAAACAAATATTAAATATAATAATAAATGCAGCATTCTAGTGGCAAATAGCTGAATTAGTTATAGTTCTTTGGGGGTCATACCAACTATTAATTTCCATTACTAATATAGTGTTTATAGTATTATATTACAAAATATTCTTATAGAATTATATACTAAGAAATACCCATTTGTACTCATAGTTGTATCATTCAAATTACTCAGTCTTAATTAGGTTGGCATAATTTTACCTACAGTTTTTTCACAAGGACATAAAATTCAGACTTTGGAAAACATAGTTGAATTATCCACTATTAAAAGAGGAAAGTACTAGCAAAAAATGCCAATAGATGTAATGATATGCTTTGTAAAACTGTTCCTTCTTCTGGTAGAGATGGTAATGTTTGATAATATCATATCATAAAATCTAAAAATATGTCTAACCAAGATGCTGTTTCTTCTGTTTTCTGAAACACATGATATTCATCAAGAACACAATTCTGAGAAAAATAAAGGGTGTGGGTGAACAAGTGACCTTCTAAAAGTTTTAAGATAAAAGAAATGTTTGTATTTGTTATGGCTACAAATTTCTCTCCTCTAATATATCTTCCTCAGTTTTCCTTCTTATTTTTCCTTTTCTACTTTAGCTAAAGATCGGAAGGATCATCACAAAGCAGACTTTAGACAAGATGGTCAAGCAGTACCAGCATAATAACAACATGTAGTATATTTTAGTACCATCTCCTCATGATTAGATCTATGAATCTATCTGTGAATCAAATTAACCACTGGATCTCAGTGTTCTGTAATATAAAAAGTAAGCTAGCTGGGTCCCAGTGGCTCATACCCATAACCCTAGCTACTCAGGAGGCTGAGATCTGGGGATTGCAACTCAAAACCAACCCAGACAGGAAAGTCTATGAGACTTTTATCTCCTATAAACCACCCAAAATGCCAGAAGTGGAGCTGTGGCTCAAGTCATTGAGTGCTAGCAGAACATAATGTTCTGCTTCAAAAAAAAACTACAAGACGGGGCTGGAAAGGTGTCTTAGTGGTAGAGCACTTGCCTTGCATGCATGAGGCCCTGCATTTGATTCCTCAGCACCACATAAGTAAAAAAGAAAAAAGCCAGAAGTGGTGCTATGGCTCAGGTGGTAGAGTGCTAGCCTTGAGCTGAAGAGCTGAGGGATATCGCCCAGGCCCAGAGTTCAGGCCCCACGACCGGACCCCCCAAAAAACCCCTACAGAACAGTACCATTCACAAACACACACACACACACACACACACACACACACAGATAGTTGAGTAATACTGTTTGTCTGCCATCAGAAAGTGATATGAACATGTGGAAGATATTTGAGAAAAAACACAGTGGGACAATGTAGTAATTGTTTTTGGGTTTTAGAGACTCTGAAGAGGAGCTTGCTGAAGTCACAGGACAGTGTATCGACAATGGTGAGTTTAGATTTATTCTGTTGTTCTGTGTGGGTAGTGATACAGCTCTGTGAAGTTGTGAGAGTGTTTATATATACCCACATGCAAAAATATGTGTGTGGCAACGTGCCTGGCTGTCTTTAGGACCTGTAAAAATCCTTTAACTTGTCATGGGGAAGTCCAAGATGTCGGAAAAAATAGTTGTTGGCTGAGTCACAGGCTGTATGAGTGGTTGTTCTGATAACCACTGCTATGAGAAAATCAGTTATGTGTGTGTGTGTGTGTGTGTATGTGTGTGTGTTATATCTACCCTCATGTATTTACTATTTATCTGAAGATTGTATAGCTGATTATGTACAGAAGACAGAGACTAGTTACCAGTGGGTATATGTGAGATTCTGATTCAAGACATGCATTCCGTTTTTGAGACAGCGTATGTTGAACTTGGAGTAGTTTCACTAACATTGGCTGCCTAGTGTACTTGTCATGTAAATCCAAAGACACATACTGATGTTCATATAAATAGGTGTGCATGTGTTCTGAGTTTTCTGGTTTGGTTTGGTTTTTCTTGTAGGTATGTGTGTGATCTTTGATTTATAATTTTATAGGGTGCTATAGTCATGAGACCAGCTTTGAAGATGACTTGACCCTTGGAGCAGAGGGTGAGTGGTGCAACTCTCCAAAGCTGAGACCAGGGAAGAGGCAACACATTGGTTGAACTAAGGGTGGAATAAAAAGGAAAAACTTTAGAAAGGAGCAGGTTTTTCTTGGGCTCCTATCTGGAGAGAAAAAATAGTTTTATAATATCATGTAAAAGCAGAGAGTATCATGTGATCAGAAACATTTTCCCACCAGCCTATTGTGGCTCCTACGGGTCCATTGTTGGAGTCTTCCCTTGACCCCTTGGAAAATGATGTGAAAATTGCCAAAACGCTTGCTCCTCAGATATTTGAGAGACGCTTTTCTCTATAGGAATCCCAAAGAAATCTGATAGGTTTTGGCAGCCTGGCCAAAGGTTAAGTGCTTTAAAAAGGATAGGACATACATATCTACCAGTGTCTCCTGGTACCTACAAAGACCCATGTGGCAGAACAGGAGCCTGAGCCTGAAGAGCTGTATAGCTCTTCTCCTCAAGACACAAATGCTCTTGGCCAGACATTACGGGTCAAAAGTTCAGAAGCTTCAAGGATGGGAATTCTCTCCCAGGCTATGTTAGAGAAATCTTGAGGCTTCATTAAGAACCTGTCATCATAACTGCTTAGAAGTGGGAGATCATGAGAATCACGATTGAAGGACAGGCTGAAAGTTTGTGAGCCTTATCTCAATCAATAAAAAAAAATCAGTTGCAGTATAATGCCTGTCACCCCAGCTCTGAAAATACATTGGTTTGATCATGGCCTAGCCTGACCCAAGCACAAATGTGGCATTATTAAAACCAAGTAATGGAAACCAAAAAGTATGGGAGCACAGCAGAAGGGATAGAACAAACACCTACCTGGCAAGCATAAGATTTTACATTTCAACCTCAATGCAGCCAAAAAGAAAAAGAAAGAAAGAAATAGCAGAATCAGAATCCGAGGAATTCATCTATCATGTAGCAATGGTAGAGGAAGATAGCAGAACATTTTTCTTTAAGTTCAGAAAAACAGTCAGGTGAGTTCCCTGACCCCTTCTAACTTGTTCTTTGCATTTCTCTTCTTATCTAGCCACACTACTGAATGCCAATGGCAAGCTCTTTTCCAGGTAAGCATTAGGTTCAGCGGGGATGAATGATGTCTCCTTAAGAAATAGTGAACTAGAGAAGGTGCCAAAGTCAGAGAGGTTGAGAACAAAGAGCTGCCGATTCAGAGGTGGAAAGGTTTTCTAACCAGTAGTGAAGGCATAGACTATGTTCCATGGTACCCATCAGAGGGTGAATATGTTCATTGAGGGGTATTTGAAGCCAAGGTGGCAAGATTGGTGACAAGATTCATATGACATCAGCTTTGATCTCTACAGGAATTTCCTCCAGACAGCCAGGCCTGGCCAGCTGCTTGATCTGGGCTGTAGTCTGGCTTCCAGCAGCATGACTGGTGGGACTAACAAGACTAGTTCAAGGTAGGTACTAAGTCTATGAGGGTTTGCATGGGTAGAGAAGAAAGACACAGAGGAGACTGAACCAACAGCTATCATTCACTATTTTTCTGGGATAGCTTATGAAAGCCTTTATACACTTTCAATGCATACCAGAGAAATCTAATCATATTTGCATCAAGAATATTAGAGTATGTGGAGGAATCCTCTCCTCAGGGCTGGATGCTGTATATAAAATACAGGTGTCTCCCTAACTGAACCTTGTACTGAAGGAACAGTAATGGCTATTCCACAGTGCCCTGGGACACAGGCCTATTCTCCTAAAAATAGCAGTAGATAAAATTCCATTAAGTGAAGTAAGCCAGGTCCAGAGAGACAGAGGATCCATGTTTTAACTTACCCGTGGAAGCTAGATTTAGCTTACAAACTTAAGTAAATACATTGGGTAGCGTGCAAACAGAAGTTTAAATATGATAGATTCAAGGGAGATCTCAAATTCTTAGAAAGCCAAAACCAAAGTTGAGCAAAATAAAAACCAGGAAGCAGGTTCTCAGAAAGTGTGGTGTGGAGCCAAGGGGAAATGGTTCAACTAATGTAGAGAAGAAGAGGGGAGAAATGCAGAAGAATCCAATGTGTATCTAACAACATTAAGAAGGAGGGAAGGGGAACATAGTGGAGAGATGGGTAAGAATGTTGAAAAGGGTGGCATTGATCAAGATATCTGGCATTCATAAATTGCTTCATTAAATGCCAACTCCTTTGCACAACTACTTAAAGATTCCAATAAAAAATAAATATAGCTCTCAAAATCAAGTTTTGAATGAACCTGTTTGTTTGGAAAGAGGGGAAGGAAGGAGGGAAAGACGGCAGAGACCTCAACCAAGCAGAACAGGCTTTTCTCATGAATGCAGAGAGTCTCCAAGTAACAACGAGCAGAGTTGGTGAAACAAGAAGGGAACGTGGGAATTTTAGGGTTCAAATATGAGAGTTCTCTGGAATGGCTTTGTCATTATGGCAGAAATTGGGGTTTATTATGCAAGCTGTCCTGTTTGGGGTGTGTGGTGTCCTCCTGACATCCTGCATTTTCAGATAAGGTCAGGGGTGAAGTTTTCATGAGAATCAAGAGGAGTCCCCTGGGGAGGGTGGTCAGCAGGCCATGGGAGCAACTTGGAGCAATAAGAACAAAGTAGATTCCTATCATTTGAGACCCTGAAGAGATTTAACAGGTTGATGGGGTGTGGTGGTTCTTTCTGGCTACTTCCTGCTGACATGGAGATTTCCATTACTGTTGATGAATGTTTACCTTTGGAATTAAGTCTACTCAATTCCTGCACAGTTCATGCTTGGTTGTCTCACACAACTCCCATGGAAAGTTGAGTGGGATATTGTAAAGCATTTGGCAAAAGCCAGATCTAACACAGCATCCCAAATAGGGAATGGCCAGCGAATGCAACCACAGAATTTCTCTGACTCTGTATTGCTTTTTGTTCATTTTTCCAAAAGGGTTTTGTATTTACTTAAATTTGCTTTCATCCACTACAAGTAGCTTTAAGCATTGTGCTAATAATGCTTTATGGAGGCTTCATAACCAGATATGGAATGTTCATCCCATGTTTTGATCAGAATTCAAGTTCAGAATAGTGAAAGCTTTTTTCAGAGTCACACTGGAAAGTAGAGAAATGGCAAGAAAGCAATTTCACTCTCCTGTAGTGTTATTCTATGTTTTAGACTCACAGTAGGTCTGAAAGCTGGCTCATGTTTGCCCTAAATCCTGCCCTCCACTCTCCCCCCTCCCACCCTTTTAGCATCTCTGAGATTCTGGACCAGGTACAAGAAGATGCAGAAGATGTCCTTTTCAGTCTTGGCTTTGGCCAAGACCACAAAGACACATCTCGGATCCCGGCGAGATTTTTTACCAACCCCTCCCAGGCCAAGGGCATTGACTTTCAGCTCTTCCTGAAGTCCCAGGTGCAGAGGATTGAGATGGAGGAGCCCTGCCTCATGCTGGCTAGTGAGTGTTACCACAGTGCCATGCTCCACTTCTCCACCTACCCCTGTCTATTCCCAACAGGGCTCAGTGGCTTCGAACCCTACTTTCTCTTGACTAACTTCACTCGACCCTTTGTCTCTTCTGTTTCCACTAAAAATAAAGAACTCTTTTGCCTATTTCATTCTCTTGAATAAATAGTCTAAGCCAGTCACAGGTGTGTCACACCAGTAAGCCTAGTTACTCAGGAGGCTGAGATCTGAGGATCAAGGGTCAAAGCAAGTCCAGGCAGGAAAGTCTGTGAGACTCTTTATCTTCAATTAACTACCAGGAAACTGGAAGTGGGTCTGTAGCTCAAAGTAGCAGAGTGGTCGCTTATGAGCCTAAGAAGCTTAGGGACAGTGCCCAAGTCCAAGTTCAAGCCCCATGACCAACCAAAAAAAAAAGTCTAAGAGACCTCAGACTGCCATTGCCCCTCTTAGGCCTTCCTTCAGCTGAACCAATGCATTACAGTATCTTTGCATCTCATACCATTCTTTAGTTCCTACTTGAGGTATCTAGTCAAGAAAGGTAACAAAGAGGAGGCTGAATGTCTGAAATCTAAACAAGACAAAGCTGCAGCTTGTCTCTGGAGTTGAAGCTTTGCGAGGGCTTTTGCAGGGAGACATTTAAAAAGGTAATTTGAGCTGGGTGCTGGTGGCTCATGCCTGTAATCCTAGCTACTCAGGAGGCTGAGATCTGAGGATCATGGTTCAAAGTCAACCTGGGCAAGAATATCCATGAGAATATCTCCAATAACACACTCAGAAAACAGTGGCACTGTGGTTTAAGTGGTAGAGTGCTAGCCTTGAGATGAAATGCTGAGGGACAGCGCCCAAGCCCTGAGTTCAAGCCCCACGATTGACAAAAAAAAAGAGGGTAATTTTCTGATGAGCCCTGAGATGACCATGTTCAATGTTTGTGCCCAGGCAGGTTTAAGCAGGTGCAAACACTGGCTGTCACTGCAGATGCCTTCTTCTGTCTCTATTCCTATGTGTCTAAGACACCCGTCCAGAAGTTCACACCATCCCACATGTTCTGGAATTATAACCCCACTGATGTGCCATCCATCAAAATTCTGACCCCAGAGCCTGAACCCCACTCACCTAGAGAACGCCTTCGGAAAGCTATCTCCAAAATGTGCCTATATACAGGTTCCCGAGATCCGCTGTCATCACCTAGCAGCACCCCAAAAAGGAACAGTTTGGACCAAGTGGTATGGGAAGTAATGGACAGAGTAAGAGGAGGAGAGAAACTGGTTTTCCATAAAGGACCTGGCTTTGAGGAAGGCCCTGGGGAAAATCCCGCACCCCCCATAGGAGATACAAAATTTCCTGCTTCTTCGTTTCCATTAGTCCTCTGCCCGAAAGAAGAACTACTGCAAGGAACCCTGGCAAAACCACAAACTCTACATTGGAAGACTGATCCATCCTGCTGGACACAGTCCTTAAACAAAACAGAGTCACCATGGAGCCCAAACCCTGTGCAAGCAAGGAACGAACTGTGTGGTCTACAGGAAAGCCATTCAGACAAGAATGAGACTTTCTGGAAAAGAAAGAGCAAAGCAAGAAAGTGTCTGTTTCAAAAGAGCCCTTTGGACAGGAAGGTAGAGTCATTGGATCTGTCCAGCATCAAGCAGAAGTGGAAGCAGATTCAAACAAGACCGGAAATGCACCGATCTCTAACCCAACAGCCCCAGGACAGTTTTGACTCAGAAGAGGTGAGTGGATTGAAGTTGAAGGAGAGGCTGGCAGAGATAAGCTACTCCTCTGTATTCTTGCCTAGAAGATGCAGGAGTAAGGGCCTTGAGCAAAGGAGATCTGGGTGTCATGTTTGGGCCAGATGCATCACTTCTTGAATTAAACTCAGCAATTTTGGCAAGTGTGTTATGCAAAAGAGAAAGAGAAAGGGCTTCAGAGTGTTCAGGCTTCAAAACTGCTTTTGTAATTTTTAACTGTTCTGCTCTCCATGGAAGGTTTTGATGAACACACCTGCCCTTATCACTGACGGGGGGGGGGCCTTCATAAATGTACAAATGAAGGTTATCTATACATTCAACACTATGAAAGAAACTATTTTCTCTTCAGCTTTGACAAATATGTAGCCATCATGATGGAAAAGTCCAGATTCATGTGGAAATCAGATTCTTAGGGCTCTTGTGCAAGAAGACAGGAGTAAGCAGAACATCTCCATAGTCCCTGCTCTCTCCCCTCTTATCTTATGTTTACACATCTTCTAAACCATACACACCTAGCCTGTCTATCCAATACTACAATTCTTTATGTATGCAAATGGCCAGCCATTGTCATGGCTCAAGCCTAAAGATGCCCCATCCCCATTCATAGAGAGATCAGCTTTTGAGAGAACAGAAGTCAGTCAAAAGCCAGTGCAGTTTTCCTGCATTCATTGCAGGTCCATTTGACCCACCGATTTAGTGAGTAACCAGAGCATGTTCTAGAAGTAATGCAGGATTCAAATGAGTGCATTGTCTAAATTCACCTGTGTGAACCATCTGAAGCTTGTCAGTTCTCTTACCTGGGTCTGCAGATGGTACTGCCATCAACTGTCAGGGTACCATGGAGCAATTCTCAGGTCTTTGCCACGCAGGAAAGCCCATGATTATTTGCAATATAACTCATAAGTATGTCGCATTGAATGTAGAATTGCACCTGAGCTTCTAACTTCCTCTTCATTATTGGGTCCCTGACATACAGAAGAGGCCAAGTTTCTCAAATACAGCTAGATTTCCTCCCTTACATCTCCATACCATTCTTGGGCTCTGACTGAGTTCTGTTGGGATCTTGATTACAGGGGAAAAGCAACAGTGAAGAGGAGGAGAGCCGGTGGCCTGGCAAACCCAGACAACTCCACTTTTACCAGACTTACCTCGGCAAAGATTCACAAAGTAAGTGAGTCCCTGTCTTATAGTTGGCTGCATATTTTACTCTCCTGGGGAGAATTTTTAAACATATATATCCATGATGAGACATCCCATATGCTATAATTTCATATGTGTGTTATATATATATATGGAATATGTATGTATATAGAATATGCATATATATGATATATATATCATATATAAACATATGATATATATGAAATAATTTTCTTGTCAGACTGTTCAAAGATATATATATAAATAGATAGATATGATATATCTATCTATCTATCTATCTATCTATATATAAATCAATGGTACTCAGACTTTAGCAAAGATATGAAGTGACCAAAAACTCTTGTTAAATAGGAGTGTCTGGACCCTAACTCAGAGTTTCTAATTGAGTAGGGCTGGACTAGACCTGAGAATGTGCATTTACTTCTTTTTATTTGGTAATGGAGTTTTTGACTTCAGGGTACTTTGCTTGCTAAGCAGGTGCTCTATCACTCAAACCACACTCCAAGTCCTTGATTTTTTGAACCAGATGTATTTTAGATAGGGCTCCATACTCTGCCAGTGGCTGGCCTTGGTCTACATTCCACTTATTGATACGCTCATTATAGCAGGGATTTCAGGCATGCACCACCACCTAGATTAATCAGTAACAATTTTATCAGACCTTGATGTGATACAGCTTATTTGCACACTCAAGTCTGAGGAACATCATTGTAGAAAAGTTTTGTAGTAGCTACAGATCCATTGGATTTCTATCTTGGCACCTACTTAGGGCTTCATTCTCTCTTAACCCCTACCGTAGAACTCGCAGCAGGCTCTCTGTATCCCACTGCTATGCACATTTAGACCCTGCATTCCTTTCTTCATCTGGGACATAGCTTCCTTCTCTCCTCATAGCAGGACAAAGCATTAAACATATTTTTAAATTTAATTTTATTGTCAAGGTGATGTACAGAGGGGTTACAGTTACATACATAAGGTAGTGTGTACATTTCTTGTCAAGCATGTTACCCCTTCCCTCATTTTTCTCCCACTTTCCCCTTTCCAGACCTCCCCTACCAAGTTGTACATTTCATTTCCAACATGTTGTTTTGTGAGCATCACTGTTGCATTGGTTCACCCTTTGTCCTTTCTCTCACCATTTTGTTGTTCCCCTTCCCTTCCTTAATTCCAATTGATGTATATATAATACCCAGGGAACCAAAATCAAATACAGTGACAAAATGGGTTAAACATAGGAAAGAAAAACACAAAAGAAAAAATAGTACATTAAAACCAACAACAAAGAAAAACCTCTTGTTTCCATATTTTGGACTTCATATACCTTAGCCTCATCTTATAGGATCATATGTACATAGCTATTGACCTATTCTGCTCATCTGTTAGAATAATATACATATATAGCAACATACTATTACTATATATATAGTTATATATATATACTACTATATATACTATTGCAAATGAGGGAAACCATCTATGTTTCTTTGGGTCTGGCTTACTTCATTTAATATCATTTTTTTCCAAGTCTCTCCATTTCCTTATGAATGGGGTGATGACATTCTAAACACACTGTTACTGCAACTAAAACATCTTTACTCTAGTTATGTGTTTTTTTTCAATATTAACTCTTTCAGAGCTATGCCTTTATCTTTGAACAGTCTGACAAGAAAATTATTAAATGAAGTGGAACTTCATCTCTCCACTGCTTTTAACGACTTCTCTCCTAGGACCAGAAAAGTAATGGCATCTGGGATTTTTTTCCAGAACAGCAGGAATTGAAATAATTCTTTAATCAAGTGAATGCATCTTGTTTAGATGTCTCTTCATTTGGGGGAATCTTAGTACTCTCTACGCACTTCCTAAACTTAAGAACTTTCTTTATTGGTTAATACTCTAAAATTATCAAGATGCACAAAGACCTTTCCTTGTAGTTATTTTCATTCTAAATTTCTGTTATTTTAGGATCCTAACTATTCTTTCTTTTTTACCCATTCCTCCACCTGGGTATATAGATAGTATCTTCACACTTAATCACTAACCACAGAAGTTATGTATCAGTACAACTATATGTTATCTGTAGTTTAGAAAGTTTAAGATGTTGAACTGTGCATAGTGGTGTGCATCTATAACCCAAACTACCCATGAAGCTGAGGCATGTGGATTAGAGGTTTGAGATCAGCCTGAAGTACATATAAGAATCTCGATAAGAAATGTACTCATTTCCTTGTCCATGTAATTGTAACCCTTTTGTACGGTATTTTCACAATAAAAAAAGAATCCTGTCAAAGAAAAAGAGACAGACAGACAGAGACAGAGAGTCAGAGAAAGGGAGGGAGAGAGGAAGAAAAGAGGGAAGGAAAGAAGGAAGGAAGGAAGGAAGAAGGAAGGAAGGGAAAGAAAGACAAAGGAAGAGAGAAATGGAGAAAGAGAAAGAGAGCAAGACAGAGAAAGGAAGAAAGGGAGCGAGAAAGAGATTAAAATAGATCCAGTTTCTTCTCAGATCTAACAGAGAAGTGAGGTTTCAGAACAAGCTATTGTCTCTCAAACTGAGACTTGACAGAAGAGTGTAGAAATTCCTTCCTTGTCAGAGCTAAAACCTAGAACCAGTGCTAAAGTAGAGAAACCTTGGCCAAAACTAAGAAATTGCTGGAGTTTTTGTGTTGTCTTCCATGAGGGACAGCCTCCAAGGCCATCCAGTAGTAGTGGTCCCCCCATTCTTGTGCGTTTTACCTCCAGGAGCTCAATTGGGTTCTCAGAGTAAATATCAGAGAAAAATTCCCAACGTGATTCTTGCAAAGGAAGGAATATAAAAATTTCCAAAGTACTGCAAGTATCCTTTCCTTTCTTCCTTCCTTGACTTCTTCCTCCTCCTCTTTTGTTCTGTTTTTACAGTAGTAAAGTTTGAACTCAGAGTCTCACACTTGCTAGGCAAGCATGCCACTGCTGCTCACGCCTTCATCCCTATTTGTGAAGATTATTTTTTGATATAGAGAGGAACTTTCTTAATTTGATTTTTAAAAAGTATTGATTTAAAATTTTTGCAGCTAAATTTTTTATTGTGAAAATACTGTACAGAAGGGTTACAATTACATGGGCAAGATAATGAGTACATTCCTATCAAGCATGGTACCCTCCTCCTTTGTTTCCCCTTCCCATCCCTTCCCAGCCTCCCCCCTGCCCCCCCAGCAACGTTGTAAAGTTCATTTTTTGACGTAATGACTTGTACATCTCATTGTTGCAATGGGTCCACCTGTATCCCTGTTTTAACAATTTGTTTTTTCCTTTCCCCTCCACAAATTATGCCAACATCATATACAGTGAAAGCAGGGGTTATACCGTGGGGGAGGGACATACAAAGCAACAAAGAAATAATCTTATAAATATGTTAGAAACAATCGCATGAAAGAGAAAAACATTTGAATACATATCTTAGGGTTCATTTCCCTAACATCAACTTATCTGACCTTTTCTGCTTGACTCAGACATATACTAGTTGTTGCAAATAAGGGAAACCATGGGACCTATGTTTCTTTGGGCCTGGCTTACTTCATTTAACATAATTTTTTTAACCTCTCAGTCCTATCTCACAACATTAATGGACTTAACTCTCCAATTAAACGAAATAGACTGTGTAGTTGGATTAAAAAGCAAGATCCTTCTATCTGCTGCCTTCACAAGTCACATCTTGCCCATAAAAACAAACACGTTTTCAATGTGAAAGACTGGAACAAAATCTACCAAGCAAACGGCCCCCATAAACAGGCGGGAGTTGCAATTCTAATATCAGATAAAATAGACTTCAAATTAAAATTTGTGAGAAGAGATAAAGAAGGTCACTACATACTAATTAAGGGATCTCTCCTTCAGGAGGATATTACAATTCTAAGTATCTATTCGCCCAACAACAGAGCACCCAAATTTATCCAAGAAATACTACTTTCCCTCAAATCCCACATAATTTTTTCTATAAAGGTTAGTACTACAAAGCTCCCCTATTGAGATCAGGAGCAAAGCAACAATGTCCCTTCTAAGTACTACTTTTTTTTTTTTTTTTTGGCTGGTCCTGGGACTTAAACTCAGGGCCTGGGTGCTGTTCCTCAGCCTCGTTGTGCTCAAAGCTAGTGGTCTATCACTTAAACCACAGTGCCACTTCTGGGTTTTTTTTTGAGCCAGTTGTTGGAGAAAGTCTCATAGACTTTTCTACCTGGGTTGGCTTTGATCTGCGATCTTCAGATCTCAGCTTCCTGAGGAGCTAGAATTACAGGTGTGAGCCACCAGTGCTGGCTAAGTACTACTTTTCAACATCATGCTACAAGTGCTAATTAATGCACAAAGACAAGAAAAGAGTATATAAGTTGCATACTAGGAGAGCAGAAATAAAATGTCTTTGATTCAATAGTATGATCACCTACGTATGGATAAACAGAAAAAAAAACTCTTGCTACTATTAAGCAATTATTCATGAGTGTAGGCTACAAAAGTTAATATACTGAAGTCAATTGTTTTCTAATATATCAATGATAAATAGGTGGAATTTGAAAACTGAAGCTCATTATCACATTGATACATACTTTCAAATAAAATAAGCACAAGTGTAATGACAGATTGATATGATCTAGGTGAGGAAAATTATAATATAAAAAAATCAGAAAAGGACTAAATAAATGGAGAGATATTTTATGCTAAAGCATAAGATTCGAGTCAGTTCTTTCCAAATTGGTTACATTCTCAATGTAATTCCAATGGTAACTCCAGCAACAAGTTGATAATAATATTTGTGTGGAGAGGCCAAAGATTAAGAATAGCCACTTTGCACAAGAACAAAGTTAAAGGACCGACCTGACTCAACCATAAGAAATTATTATAAAGTGATAGTGACCCAGACAGAGTGGATTTGTTAACAAAATAGAACATCAATAGAAAAGAACAGAAAACCCCAAAGCAGACACATGATATTTGACATAGGAGCAAAGATGACAGTGGAAAATAGACATTTCAATAAATACTGAAAGTAAAACAAAACAAAACAAAGAAAGTGGTGCCGTGGCTCAAGTGGTAGACTGCTGGCCTTGAGCTGAAGAGCTGAGGGACAGCACTCAAGCCCAGAGTTCAGGCCCATGACCAACCAAAAAAAGAAAAACAACAACAACAAAAATCAATAAATACTGAATTACTGGCTATCATATGCAGAAAAAAGTCTGTATACAGACTACACTCATTATAAAAAATTAACTCAGAGTGGATATCACATGTAAGTATAAGATGCAAGACTAAAATTTGCCAAAGATAATATAAAGGGAAACCTGGATAACCTGTTTGTTGGTGACTTTCAAATGTGACACCTCTGAATCCAGCTCATAAAAGGAAAAGAAAAATTAATAATTTGGAACTCATCAAAATTAGAAGTTCCTCCTCTTCAAAAGACAGTGTCAGGGAAGGATAAAGACAAACTGCAAATGGGAGAAAGTATCTGTAAAAGATGCATTCCATGATTGGCCACTGTCCAAAATATACAAAGGATTAGGGATTAGGGATTAGGGGTTAGGGGTTAGGGTTAGGGGTTAGGGTTGGGGTTGGGGTTGGGGTTAGGGGTTAGGGGTTAGGGCTAGGGTTAGGGTTATGGGGTTAGGGGGTTAAGGAGTTAGGGGGTCAGGGTTAGGGTTAGGGTTAAGGGTTAGGGGGAGGGTTTTAGGGGTAGGGTTAAGGTTAAGGTTAAGGTTATTTTTAAATGTTTGGTCTAGGATTTTTTTATTGTGAAAATACCATACAGAGGGGTTGCAATTACATGAGCAAGGTAATGAGTACATTTCCTTTATCCTTTCCTCCTCCTTTGTTTCCCCTTCCCATCCCTTCCCATCTCCATCTCCACCCCCGCACCTGCCAAAGTTGTAAAGTTCATTTTTCGACATAGTGTCTTGTACATCTTATTGTTGAAATGGGTCCACCTGTATCCCTATTTAAACAATTTATTTTTTCTTCCCCTCCACAAATTGTACCAACATCAAATACAGTGAAAGCAGGGGTTATACCGTGGGGGAGGAGACAATCACCTATAAGAACACAAACAACTTGATTGAAAAATAGGATAGCAACCTTCACAGACACCTCCTAAAAGGTAGATGGGGAAAATAAGGATGTGGCAAAACACTTTACATTATATGCCATCTGGGAAATGCACATTAAAACAAGAAGATGCCATATACATCTGATATAATGATGCTTTGGAAAGTTACACAATATTCCTCCTCTTATATAGCATTGATCATGGTAAACAGTAGAACTAATGTAAATTCAAAAGGATGGAAAATAGACTCTGTTTTTTATTAATGAGGCAAAGTGTCAGTGTTCAAAAGCATGTGGATTTTGTGACCACTTTTATAAACAGCCAATGACAAATAATAAGAAATACCAGATTCATCAAAGGGCTTTATCTTGTGTGCATCAGAGATTCATGGAGAATAAATCTTCATTCTCAAGCCCATTCAAACTCCACCATGGAATACAGGAAATAACAGCAACTCCTAGACTCACTGTGTTTAAGAAGAAATGGGTAACACATCATCTACTTATAACTAAGTTTCCTTGCCAAGAATTTGATTAATGCTAAAACACAAAGCTTTGCTTCACTGTTAGTTTCCAGCAGATGTCAGCCTCACACAAGAAAATTCCAGGGATCTAGGCCCTGCAGAATTGGTATTCATGGTTTTCAGGGCTATCCATGGGTTTCAGGCAATGCTCAGAGCATTACTGCTTCTAATAAACTTGTTCACCCTTTGTGTACACTTTAACTCAGTTTTATTATCTCAAAAATACTAGAATAACTTGTAAGGGGGTGATACTGAGTTATACATTTCCTGTAGATTATTAGATTTGATTTACTGGCAAGGTATTGAGATTTCATCTCAGCAAGATCATGGCTGGGAAGTCTATTAAGTTGATTCTAAAGCACCCATCTCCCCACATGTTAGCAAGATGTATCTTGCCAATGATGGAATCTGAAGATTAATTGCCTTTTGGTTTTCTTATATGAAATATAAAATAATTATAAGTTTGACAAAGATGGTTTACCAGATTCAATTAAATACAGTAACTTTAGAAAAAATACACTTAGTTCTTTTAAGTGGGATATTTTGTAGATAACCCTTCTAGATTGCAGGAAGAATAAGAGATCTCTTTTTCTGACATAGTCTTTGGCTGAATCATTGAGTCTAGTGGTTCCCAATGCCTCCAGTATTCTATACATTGAATTATTTTTTCCAAAAGCTATACACTAATTTTCTCAACCTAGTCCTCTATTATCTTGGAAGAAATCACAAGAGAGTGAGCTAGTTATGAAAACAGCCCAGTGATAATAAATGAACACCTGTCTGACAAATGCAAAATGGGAAAATTCACTCACCACCACCAAAGGCAGAGATAGGTGAGATTGGTACTTAGATATACTGAGAACATCTCATGTCTGCTTCTTCAAGCGTCTGTAATTATCTCCCAGAATGAAACAATTCCCCTAAATAGTGCTGCGTCAAGCACCAGGTATTAATCTACTACTCACTGTCACCAGTAGAAAAGAGGTTGGGAAGTAGTAGCAACACTGAACTGCCCATATAGTTCAACTGGATGGTCTTATGTGCTACTTAACTACATAGGTGAATAGGGTCACTAGATGCAGGTGAAGGTTTGTGAAGTTTTCATTTAAAAGTAGGAACTCCACACTTAGGGTCCTTGATCTTCATCACAGAATAAGAGTTTCTGAACAAGTCATAATGGTAAGAAAACTTGGTGGAGCTATCTCGAATACGTCAGTAAGCAGACAAGCGGACAGACATGCAGCCAAGCAGAAAGGAGAAGGCACACTCTAACAGAGTGTATGTGCTCTCAAAGGGAGAGGGACCTACAACTCTGGCTGTCAGGGATGTTTATATGTTTTTATGGCAGTGGTCTTAATTCAAAGTTATGCAAAGCTGGGTATCTTATCCTTGCTCTAATGCTCCAGGATGTTTTGGTCATTTCTTCCAGATAAGAAAGTATGCTGCTATAAACAGATGCTTATCCTTGAGATAAGGAAGGCATCCTGTTGTCTCTCTTAGAAACAAAGATAGTGCTTCCGTTTCTAACTATATTTTTTTCTGAGTGGCCTTCATCAGGCCTCATTTTCCCTCACTTATCCTGCCTCAATCAAATAGGACTTAGAATCCAGCCCTACTGAGTTTGCCATACAAAATCTCTAGGGACTTCATCTTCCAAGTTGTCTTTTTATCAAATTCATTTACATAATATATCTGAAATTAGAAACAGGGTACCTTTTCTGTTTAAAGAAGACCTGACACTCAAGCCAGTTGCTTTCCTTCCTACCGACTTCCTTTCTCATTTAATCTCTCCAAGGATGTGTCTTCATTTCCCTCCAAGTTCCTGGGAATAGATGACCTTCATCATTCCTCACAATTCCCCCCAAATTTCAAGTCCACAGTCATGGTGCCCTGATGCTGAAATTCAAGCAGTTGGCCTGGGTCTCATTAAGAGGCAGAGGCAAGGAAAATGTTTTGTTTTTCTTGTTCCACTTGATTCTATGGCCACTCTGCTAGAGGCCCTGGGAGGAGAGAAGAAGAGATTAGGTGAGAAGTCAAACAAGGAAGCTAATCTTTGATATCCCAAATAGTGGATAACACAAAGCGGTTTTTTGTTCTTGGTAAATTTATGTGAACTGGTTACTTACAGCCCTTCCTTTAGATGTAATGTTTTACCATATTATAATAATAAATAAATATTCTTACCTGTCAGACACTATCCTTCATCATTTAATCCTTATGCAATAAATTCATTTGTTGTTACTCCTTTGATAGATGGTGATAGGAGACAGTGATTTTTAGTCCAAAGTGAATTCTGAAGAGGAATTATCCGATGGGAAAGTTTTTTAGGGAGAAATTAGAATGGCATGAGTATTTTTTTTTACCCCATTTGCAATTTTTACCAAGGTTGTTTTGCCTCTAAGGAGAAATAAAATTAAAAACAAAATCTCTTGACACTTTGCAAAAGTCTTACCATATGATAAGTAAGGCTGTAATTATCAAGGAATAAGGGATTAACTCTCCAGGAATCTTGCTGCTGGTGAGAAGACCAGAAATCCCAAGCCACATGACTCTGGTTTGTAGCTGCAGCTGCTAAAAACATTAAATATTTCTTTCTTAAACATTTGTAGGATACTAGACATGGAACTAAGGTCCTTGGCCATGCCAATCATGTGGCTTACCACTAAGCTTCATCTGAGCCTGAACTCTTATTAATCATTCCACAAGTGAAGTATAAAAATTTCTACCAAAGCCAGATGCCAGTAGCTCACACCTGTAATCTTAGCTACTCAGGAGGCTGAGATCTGAGACCTGTGATTTGAAGCCAGCCCAGGCAGGAAAGTTGGTGAGATTCCTATCCCCAACTATCCACTAGAAAACCAGAAGTGGTGCTGTGGTTCAAAGTGGTAGAGGCAAATACGCTCAGGGACAGCACCTGGGCACTGAGTCCAAGCCCCACAACTGACAATAATAATAATAACTATTATTATTATATCAAGTTCAGTACTCATAGAAAGTTATCTTAAAAATGAATCATGTGTTTCTTTTTAATTCACATTTCAGGCCTTCTTAACCAACACCATAACACATATCCTAAGAACAATGGCTTCCCAGAAGATCCTACTTCCCACCTCTGGCAGGAAGTTGTACATCCCTGCCATTCCAACCCTTGCCCCTTAGCACTTGAAACTTCTGAGTGCACTAGGAGACCCACAGCGTGGTATATCAAGAAGAAGACCAGACCAAGAGAGCTGGATTCTGCATCCTGATGCTGGTATGAGCTGTAACCATAGAGCAAGAACTTAGGCACATCACTTCATTTCCCAGCACATTGGTTTCTCTACGAGGTTGGTATTACCTACATGCTATGGATAAATTGGACAAAGACTTAAATTTCTGTCAAACTTTGCCATGGTTGAAGGCATTTAGAAGATTCAAGGATGATTACATTTGGGGACTAAAGGTGGCTTCTGGAATGCTCTCAAAGGCCTCAAGCTAACAGAGGAAGGAAAAACCTCACCTCAAAAATCTCAATGAAGCCCACCTAAGATTTCCCTCTGGACCCTATGCATTCCTAATTAAGTTCCTGAAAATCTTCCACAGTACCAGAGTTGGATCCAGGATGGACTGGGAGACTTTCCTATGTCCTATGCTGTCTTGGATCCTCCCCACCCCCCATTTAAGTCCAACTCTGACTACCCAAGATTCCATATAGAAATATAGGGGTTGGCCTCAGAGTCCTTTCTCTTAGTCTTTGCAAAAATAAAAAATTTAAAAAAATTCACGGTATTTTCTTCTGGCAGAAAAACAATAAAAATGTATTTTCAGTGTGGCACAATCTTTTCCTTTTTTCTTTTCTTTAGAGACAGATTCTCATTATGTAGTTCATACTTCCCTGGAATTCACTATGTAATCTGGCTAGCCTCAAACTCTGGATCCTTTTACCTTTACCTCTAAAGTATTGAGATTACAGGTGTGAACCACCATGCCTGTGTTTTGGCATAATTTTCAAAAATTATCTTTAAGTTCCACATTTAACAAAGCAGTTGATGAATACAATATATCTTGATCAATGTCACTTCTTTGGCATGATTTTTAAAATTTTTTATTGTTATTATAAAGGTGATATACAGTGGAGCTACAGTTACATAAGTCAGGTAAAGAGTACATTTTTTTAGTTTTTTATTGTAAAAATAGTGTACGGAGGGGTTACAGTTACATGAGTAAGGTAATGAGTACATTTCCTATCGAACTTGAATATGTTTCTTTTGAACAATGTTAACCCCTTTCCTTGCTCACTGTCTCGGTTTTTCCCTCCCATCTTTACCCACAGGTTATATAGTTCATTTTCCAGTGAGCACTATTGCTGCATTTGTTCACCCTTTGTCCTTCCATTTCTGTGCAGTTGGTATGATTTTAGAGGCAATTACTGTTAATTAGCTGTTAGTTGCTTGGAGAAAAAATGTTTTACCTGAAAACAAGACTTGAGCACTTTCACATTCAGTAGAATGTAGTATAAAGTATCTTAGACCCAGTCATTTCCTAGGAAAATTTTAGTAAAATAGGAGAGGAAAGACACATATTTCCAGCAATTACTTTGTTGGTAATAAAGTGCAAGGAATGAAGACCAGAAGAGAATAATTTGAAGGATGTTATAACATAAAGTGTTAAAAAATACCTCAAGACAGGTTTCTGGCCAGGAAAAATATTATTTTATTCTGACATTACTGCCAGCAATCGGTGGAGGGCAGAGATGAAGTCTGTATATTGAAAAATGAGAAAAAAAGCTGTGATGTTATTAAGTTTAGTTGTAAAGGGGTGAGGATGAAAAAGTTTATCTTAAGTCACCATTTTTGGTGTGAATTACCTTCACCAACAGAAATCACAAGCTATTTCATAGTTTCTGAATGTGTGTTACAATCCTTAACAAAACCCCAGGTAAGAAGTTCTTAGGCACAATCATAATTTACTTAGACCTCAAAACAATCCAGAAGCAATAAGTTCTTCTTACAGATGTTCCCCAATCCCCAGATTTCTTCACTTTAGATTATCCTGATTCTCCTATCTACAGTCAACATAAGTTCAGTGTAAACAATGTATGCCTTTCCAACCCAAGTTTCCCTGATAAAATTGTTTTATATTCAACAAGACACTTTACCAACCTTCACAACTCAGCCGGGATCTTTCCAGCTGACATAGGGAAATAATGTCTCAATGATCCCTTTGAGTTCAGAGATCTCTCAGTCTTAATATTCTGTCTCTACATTTGAGAGTCAGACAGAATACTTACATATCTGAACAGTTAATTGGGGCAATTTTGTGCCATCTATTTTCACTAATTGGCCTTAACCAAATGCAAACTGTCTCCTATCAGGATGATAGGAGAATACCATGCAATTTGGAATGCCCCTTGTGCTCTCACCCCATGATTTGTGGGTGACCTGGGTGCTGTTCCTGAGCTTCTTTAGCTCCAGGAAAATGCTCTATCACTTGAGTCACAGCTCCACTTTGGGCTTTTTTTTTGTAGTTTAGTGGAGAGTCACACAGACTTTTCTGCCCAGGCTGGCTTGGAAGTGTAATCCTCAAATCTCAGCTTCCGGAGTAGCTAGAATCCTAGCTGATGGCGTGAGCCATCATCACCCTGCTTTAATCATTCCCTTCTAAGACTTGGCTCTCAGGCAGTAGAGAAAGATATTCCTGGGTTGCAAACCTTGGAAGAGGTTGCAAGAAGACTTGCAACTTCAAAAGACAGAGAAAGGATTTACATAAGTTTTCTAAAGTAAATGTTTTAAGAAAAGTCAAGGGCCTGGAGTCCAGAAAGGATTTCTTATTTTCCTCAAGCTAAGGGAAAATTGGTAAAAAAAAAAAAAGTTAAACAACAACAAAAAAAAGATAGCACAAGATCATTTCATATAAAGAGCTCAGACTAACAACCCATGTGATCCCATCTTGCTGATAGAATTGATGAAGGCTGCAGAGTAAGACCATCCCTATATCCTGATTTGGGTCAAAGTCTATTATTAGATCCAGAAAAAGGATTAACTGAAGGCATGTAGGGAGTATGTCCATCTGGAAGTGAGATCACCTTCTGGGGCAGAAGATTTGGCCAAAGTCAACTCCACTGTTCCCTACAGGCTCAGTGTCTAGGTTGTCAGAGGATACATTCCAGGAGGAGTAATGGATGAAGCTATACAGGTGATACAGAAATGGAGAAACATTTTGTCCCCTCTGCCATTCACTTCTTTCCATCAATTCCCAGTTTAAAGCAGAATCTGGAGAACTGGAAGTTGAGTGAGAATCATTTTGCAGAAAGGTCTATTATTAGTATCAAGAAACTTATACAGCAAGGAAACAGACACTATGTTGAAAAATGAACTTTACAACTTTGAGGGGGGAGGAGTAGTTGGGAAGGTGGGGAATAAAGGGATAGTAGGGGAAACACAAAGGAGGAGGCAAAATGCTTGATAAAAAATATACTCATTACCTTACTCATGTAACTGTGACTCCTCTGTAAAGTATTTTTACAATAAAAAATGTATTAAAAAACTTGAAAAAAAGAAAACAGAGAAGCCATATTTTGAAAGGTAGAATTGGGACCTTATTGGAAAGCTGGCATCTGTAGGCAGACTATTGTCACAAAGACCTGTAGTCCCATGAATATACTTAACACTTAGAAAACTGAGACATTGAGAGCCATACAAACTAGATCAACTCCAACGGAGAGATGAAGTGGGACACTATGTTGACTTGAGGAGAGCCAGGAGACAAGACAGGAGCAGACAGGAGACACATGGAATGGTGCCCCTGCTCTGAGCTGGTTTAGGCTTAAATAGTAGAAGGGTCAGGGAACAGGGTCACAGGAAACTCAAGTTCAAAGCACAGGACTGACAGGCCCAGTAATCTATAGTCCAAGTACCCACCCCTGGGAAATGGAGCTTCCCCTCCCTCCACCATGAAGACAAGAGCCAATTAAACCCAATTCCCTATGGGCCACATGGCCAAGATGGCACCGACCAGATCCAGCATCCCTACAAAGGCCTCTCCTACTCAGCTCTCACCACAGTTCTTCCAAATTTGTCTCTATCTCCCTACTCTAGAAGCTGATAAGGACTGTGTGTAACTGAATGTAGCGGATTCTCCCCTTGGGGAGACCAAACAATGCCAGTAAGCAGCAATCAGGAGGCAAAAGTGTTAAGAAGGATTTGTTATTTGCTGGAAGTAAAGAGCTACACTGTAGATAATAGTCAAGTCCATGGTGCCTCAAAAAAAGAAAACAAGGGACTGCTTAGAGACATTTCTATGGAGGTAATACGTTTGATAAGCAGGGATAACAGTGTCAATATTTCTCAAGTGTGAATATGAAAGGTATTCAGAAGACTCCACAGAATACTTACATAGCTTTCAAGTAAACCTTACTTAAGTAAGACTTCTATTTGAAGGCAAAGCTTTCATGTGAACATAGTGAAGCAAGAAAAGAGTGTAGGCAAGCACTGGGGTCCAAATGATACCCATATACAAGCTTCCGTTCTTCCTTACTTGTGAGTCATCTTTGGAATAAACCACCAGGATCTATGCAATAATCTCCTTGAAGAGTTATAGTAGACATACCTCAGGAGTAAGAATCAGGAGGAATCTTTTTTTCCCCTTCTGGATAGTTGGTCAAGTCAAGCTGTCTAATCAATTATGCCAGGTAAAAATTATCATGAATAAACATTCTTACTCTTGTAGTTCCCAGGGGAGTTTAAAATGTATACTTTTCAGTGTGAATCATTCTGCTGTTATCTTGGCCAAGAGTCCAAAGCTAAGTGTCTAGAGTTAATTCAGAGTTAACCTTAACCCAGAATTGAGCATAGTGCTTTCTAAGGGAATCTGTAAATTTATTCTATATAACTAGTAATGTTACAGATGGATTTGCCCAAGGATTACCTAGACAGTTGGGTTTTTTAAAATATATTTTTATTTTCTTTAGCTAGTTGTATAAAGGAGTTGCCATTCAACAGAGCAGCTTATGAATACAGTGCCTCTTGATCAATGTCACCCCTTTTAACATTCTCACCTGCCCTCCTACCCCACCCTTTCCCTCAATTTAGACACTTGGTTTTAGTTTGCTTCTTTTTTTTTTTTTGGTAAAGGAAATTCTCACTTTACTGTAACATTGTCAGAAAAATTTTATTAGTCCCCAACAGCCATAGAACTATAGAGTAGCCAAAATAAATCTTTTAGTAACAACACAGTGGAATAAAACTAAACATAAACAACAAAACCCCACTAGTTTCATTTCAATAGATAAATTAGAATACTGTGTTTAAAATAATGGAGATAACAGATAGTTTACACCTTACTTCCCATTACATCCTGTTGAAATGTAGTTCATGCTGATAGATACCAAGCTAAAATATAGGTCACACTGACAGCAACAGCCACATAAGCAATGAAAAATACAGAAGAAATGTAAAATTCAAGACAAGATCACAAGGTCTTTGAGATAAAGCACTGCCATTAAACTTCCCATAGCCACAGAGATTTTTTAAGTCTAATATATATTTAAGGCATACACTTGACATTTTAATATAAGACTTGGCAGGAGAAAGAGGATTCTTTTCAGGTATTAGGTCCATGGAGGTTGCTCACACTCAATTTTTTTTACCAGTCCTGGGTCTTGAACTCAGGGCCTAGGCACTGTCCCTGAGCTTTTGGGCTCAAGGCTAGCACTCTACCACTTCAGCCACAGTACCACTGCTGGCTTTTTCTGTTTATGTGGTACCAAGGAATCGAACCCAGGGCTTTGTGCATGCTAGGCAAGCACTCTACCACTAAG